AATTGCATACCTAAAATGTCACTAAATTTGCTTACTTGAAAGATATCTAACTTCACTAAAATTCACTAAATTCGCTTACTTGGAATAGATCTAAATTCACTAAAATACCACCATTGCATATCTAAAATAAATTAAACTTAAATTAAACTTACTTGAAACCATATGGGGGATTTGCTACAAATCGTAGCTCATCATCTGGCAACCAGAATTCCCGAGGGTCTCGAGGTGCTAAAAACGGAAGATGCCCCATGCCCAGAGTTGGAGTATGAACATCGCACCACCAGCTTGTCTCGCTCCCAACCTCGAGCAAGTACACAACTCTCGATAGATCCCAGCCAAGACGGCCGACCCCCAACTTTTTTCCCGATCTCGTCCCAGTCACCGAGGAGCATATTTAACCACATGCCTTGTATCCACCGGTTTGACTTGTCGGGGAACAGAAACCCACCAACCAAACCAATTAGGTAGACACGTGCATACCGCTCCACCTGATCTTCAGGAGTGTCCGGGCCTATATTAACCTCCATTTGGATGTGGTCAACAAGCCACGGGACCGATACTTGCCCCGCATTCAGTGGTGGATGCCCAACCCCGTCGACGGGCGTGGTGGTCGGCATGTTGAACCCCAAACGCTCTTGAATCAACGGCCCCCAACCATCTTCCGGTTTTTTCGAGTTGTCGATGATGGCATCTCCGGTGATCGGGAGCCCGGTGAGGATGGCAACATCTTTGAGGGTGATCGTCATTTCACCCTCGGGAAAGTGGAAGGTATGCAGCTCGGGCTGCCATCGCTCTGCCATTGCCGTCAGCAGATCGTTGTCAATATCAAGCCTCGTAAAGTGCCTCAGCATGTGCAATCCTGTCCTCTCTATATAGGGCTGCAGTCGATCATGCCAACGGGGCAATCGACATGTCCCTCGATGACTGATAGGAATAAGTGATTCCTACTAAACAAAAAACACAATATTGTCAGTCAATAGAAAGCAAAATAAAAACTTTAAAACTATTGAAATAATTTTAGTGTGTCTACCGGATTATTGTTCCAAATTGAACGGGAGCGATGTTGATCTTGCCCGGTTAAATACCTTCGATCCCTTGGGCCAGGATCGATATACAATCGAGGGTCGTATATCTCAACACCCATCTATAAAAAAATATAAAATCAAATCAATTTAAATTTTAGCACCCATGTAAAAAAAATCACAAAAGAATAAAATTAATTTACGTACTCTCAAAGCCTCTTCGTCCATTTTTTGCCGAAAAGCTAGCGAGAGTATCGACAAAACAAAAACTCTAGTAATTCTTTCTGATGCGGAAGATCGGACTTAGCCGCAATCACAGAGCATACTTAGAACGAAACTAGAGTAAAGTAAAGGAGGGAGAAAGAAGTATAAAATTTTGGTGTGGTTTGGAATGAGGGGGGGAGTGGTATTTATAGGGGAAAGGGGCGCTGGAAATGGATCCAGGAACAAATCACCGCGTTGAACAAACGCAGTGAAGTCACCGCGTTGAATGAAAGCGGTGAAGTCACCGCGTTGAATGAAAGCGGTGAAGACTCGGATCGCTGACGTGGCGCGGGGTGAGGCGTCGGATCGTGGAGAAAAACCACAATCCGCGCCGCACTGCATCGAACGGCAGCGGTGAAGGCGCTGGTGAGGCGGATCGATGACGTGGAAAGCGGGGCTATCACCGCTTTAGTCATTAGCGGTGAAGTGCCCGCGCGCGTCCACGTCAGCGATCCGCGCCTATTCACCGCTTTACAATCCAACGGTGAAGATCTATTCACCGCGTCCCTTATCAACGGTCGTACAATCCCCGCGTTTGACCACAGCGATGATGCTATCCCCGCGTTTGACCACAGCGATGATAGCATCACCGTTTTTGTCCAAAACGGTGATAGCATCACTGTTTTGGTTAAAAGCGATGATGCTATCACCGTTTTGGTCAAAAACGGTGATTGCCATCACTGTCTTGGTCTACAACAGTGATGTTCAAACTGCTGTATTTTGGGAAATAAATTTATAATTGCTGTATTTTGGGAATTTTTTTTAATAATTAGAGTATTTTGGGATTTTTTCCCAATATGAACCGGTTTGACAAGTTTTGTTGCATTATTATTTATTTATTTTGGTAGAAGGTTGCATTATTAATGAGCCGTGTATAGACAAAGCGAAACCCACTTTACATGAAAAGGATCAGAAAAGGTGCAACTTCTATGTCTGTTTATTTTGTTGGGAGTGTTTCACCAAATGAAAACTGAAGGCTTTTTTGATATTTAATTTCCATGCCCGTGATCTCCACTATTCATCACTAAAGGGCCAAGAACCGAAGCAGGTACCCTGTGAACACAAACACCAAATGCAGTAACACAATATAAGTAAAGTAAATCAGCTGGAGTTTAAAGCACCTGAAGTAACGGTAAGTGCAAGGTGTTCAAGTTTCCCAAATGGCTAAGACTGGGATAAGGTTTTACTTTATGAAGAGCAAATATGCAAAAATCAGCAACAGAGCCAGAACCTTGTCCCTCAACTATGTATGAATACCTATCAAATAGCTTGACCGGTTGATACTGTAAGAAGATATCAAATCAGCAACAACATTCTTGTTAACAAATTTGTTATATTAGAAATGGATAGTTGGATCAGGTTAAACAATTTTGAAATGCAGTTAAGCTAAGTAAAGTAAATAACACAACACTAAATAAACAACAAATAAGAATAACAATGTAACCTCCCTGAATGACATGATAGAAAAAGGGACTGACGAGAATCATATTTCTTAACCCCAAAAAACAAATTGGCTATATACTTATCAGATGTTTATATTAGGTTAATAACAACTTCTTCATAGTGTTTGCATTTTCACGGTACTCAAGCTTAAAAAGTGATTGTGAAAGTAGGGATCTATGGTTAAAACCTATCAAATGCAATACTTCCTTTTCCTCCCTGGTTTCCCATCCACAAAAGGAGAATAACAGTATAGATTCATATTAAAACAAGTATATCAACATTAATAGTTAGAGATATTAAAACAAACGCACTAGTTTGTTACAAATTGAATATACTAGGAATGCCAAATATGTCAAAATAAGAAATGAGGATCTAAACAAAATATTTTATGTGCATGTATACTCGAACGAGTTCGGATTGGATAGTTAAAAACCCGTATATACCCACTTATTATCCGTATTATTCGGGTTCCGATTTCAGCTTGGGCACCGTCATGCCGCCGAGATATCTACAAGTAAGAAAGTTCAACCAACCCCCAATATGATGCATTCCCATTCACATCCTATCCATAGCAAATTACAACGCCATAAATTACGTAAACTAGGACTGAACTTCACTTTGAATCATTTACTACATGTTCGGTTTCCCTTTGTTGCACGTTTTTGTACTTCTAACGATAGTTTGACTCCCCTGTTAATGCATTCATTCTAAAGCATTAGATTAAATATTTCATGCCTACTTCTTTAGAAATTACTCCTTTCATGTATCTACCTTACTCTTAATCTCCAATCACTGAGCTTACATTTTTTTTATTTTGCTTTCACGATGAATCGCAACACCGCCCCTAAGAAGCAGATGGTTCATCATTGTTGAATATCCTGGTATTAAGTTTCGTGTATTTTATTATTATGTTACCGTTGAAGTGTGGCGAGTAGGCTCTTACTAGTCAAGATAAAAAAGAAAAAAGTAAATTTTTTTTTTAAAAAGAGCTTAATTAAAAAGCTCATTGTTTCAGAACCATATATATATATATATATATATATATATATATATATATATATATATATATATATATATATATAGCAAAGGCTAGCGTATGCTATATGCCTATATGCCTGTGTTCACACTAAATAAATAATTATTTTATATTTTTAATTAAATTATGAGTAGATTGATTATTAGTAATAATTAGAGTTACAACCACATCAATTAATTAATTGTTGTGTCTGTTTTAGTCCCCGACCCAATATATTACCTTATTTTCCCAACTCGTCTTCTTCGACGTGTAAAGCCAGAGGCGCGCTGCACAGGGGAGAGGCAGAGAGCAGAGGCATCGGAGATGAACCCCAATTCCAGTCCGATCACAATCCCCCTCGTACCTTATTTTCCGATAACGATGGGGTGGCGCCGTGGAGCCTACCGTCTACAAAGTCGACAATGCACCTCCATACTCGACTGCAGAGGCATCCCGATTGAACCCCAATTCCAATACGAATGCAATCCACCTCCATACTCGGCTCCCAATTAACTATTATTGTTACCATCAAATTAATTTAATGCCTCCCAGTTCACTATTAATGAATATGCTCTGTGAAACCCAACTTCCATGTTCTTTTTTCACTTTGTTTACCCGGAACAGAACCGTGGCCAAGCGGGATCCATTCCAAGACTAGAACAGGAGGCAATCTCCATTACATTGTCAACATAGTTATTTCATTTGGGTTTGTTCTTGAATCCTTTGACGCCCTTTCACCAAATCTTTAGACTCTGTAGTTCGAGGCAGAGGCGAAGGGTTGCGACTAGGAGAGGCTGAGGATCTAGCGGCAGAGGAGGATTGGCGGAGGGAAGGCGCAGGCGGGGGAGAGCAGGATCGTTTTACGGGGAAAGAGGTGAAGGAGAGATCCGGTTGCCGGAGGGATAGGGGAAAGGGCACCGATCGCTCGACAGAGGTTTGTTTGGTTTAGGATTGGAACTAATAATTATGGTGGGACTAAAACGTACACAATATTTTGGCTTAATTGCAAGTTTGGTCACTCGAATTGCTATAAAATTTCACGTTTGCCACTCAAATTAATTTATTCCATTTATAGTCACTCGAATTAGTTGAACAGTTCAAGTTCGGTCACTCTCCGTTAACCTCCGTTAACTTTGACTGACGTGGTGGTCAACTCTGACAGTTGACCGTTAAATGTGTGACGTGGCAAATAAAAAATAATTAAAAAATAAAAATTAAACTTTTAGAAATTACACATCATTATAAAAAAATTATAATTATAAAAAATGAAAAAAAGAAATTATCACAAAAACTTGAAATGCCGGTCCGACCACTCTGTTTCCAGATCGGACTTCCAACGTCACCGAATTGGCCGGCGGCATTGGCATCTCGACGACAACCTTCTCGTTCCACTGAGGGTAGCTCCCGCCGTCGGAATCCGCCCTGGTCGACCCGGAATTGAAGAACGGGTCGGTTTTCACGACGACGAACTCGTTCTTCTTGACGGGTCTCCCCTCGAGGCGGAGTCCTCTGCTGAGAGGACCGTGAATTCGAGAGTCCGGGTTCCGGCGGCCGCCATTTTGATCGTCGGAATGTGTACGAGATACCATAAGGGCCCAATATCTCAATAGCGAGCGCCTTCAGGGGAATGTTGATTGAACTGTGAAGGGAATTGCAACGAATTGGTATTGAATGATGGGATGATCAGGTTTTGGGATTGGTGTATTGTGTATTTATAAACAGAGTGTGGGTTGGGGTTGGACGGGGGAATCCGAAGGAGGGTCGGAAAGTCCGCGGTAGGTAAAGCGTGAGTTCATTGTATGGTTACAGTTAAGTAGCCGAAAAAATGTTGATGTGTTTTAACCGGCCAGTTCAGGCCAATGGTGATCTGCGTTGTACTTTTCTAAGAAAAAAGAAGAAGAGGGTAGGCTACTTCCAGGAACTCTAGCTTTTAGATGCACCTGTAAAAGAATTAAGGATTGGAATGATTTGTAAAGGAGGTGTTTCATACTAATGTATTAATTGTATCCATTGTTGTTAATTCCAACCTGTGATATCCTTTGCATGAACAGAGCCGGGTTTACTGGCAGAGTGCTGGTGAATCCTTTGCATGAAACGACCAGGTTGCTGATGGGGCACACACGGTTGTTGATCACTTCCACGTTCCATTGCAGCTCGCCTTCGCGCGTATTACCGCTCCTCGTCGTCCCAAGCGTCACGCTGTTCAGATCGCCGTTGCCCAGCCCTGCAACGACAAACCAACATAACCCAATTTTCATGTGTGTGGTAAAGACTAAAGACTCTGTCTATGGAGGCAGGGCACGAATCTGGAAGGAATTTTGTGTTGTTTGTTTTTGTGATAATGATGTGTAATTTCTTTTTGTGATAATTTCTTTTTTTCATTTTTTATAATTATAATTTTTTTTATAATGATGTGTAATTTCTAAAAATTTAATTTTTATTTTTTAATTATTTTTTATTTGCCACGTCACACATTTAACGGTCAACTGTCAGAGTTGACCGCCACGTCAGTCAATGTTAACGGAGGTTAACGGAGAGTGACCGAACTTGAACTGTTCAACTAATTCGAGTGACTATAAATGGAATAAATTAATTTGAGTGGCAAACGTGAAATTTTATAGCAATTCGAGTGACCAAACTTGCAATTAAGCCGAATATTTTTGTAAGGGTCGGATTGTAATTATAATTATTTATTACAATTAATTTAATTATATATAAAATTAATTTATTAGTGTGAACACTGGCGTATAGCATACATATGGCATACGCTAGGCTCAGGGCCGTCCCATGATATTTTTGGAGGTCCGGTTCGAAAATTTAAAATGTGGCCCTAATTTTTTTCCCATAAATTTATCAAAATTAAAAATTAGTAAATAATTGTAAAAAAATACTTAAGTTCAGAAAAAGATTACATTAGGAATAAACGATCTCATTTCAAGTTTGAACAAGAAACCAAGACCGAATTCCCAGCCCTAGTAGGGAGGAAAGTAAATATGAAAGGAAGAGAAAATGGATATAGCGCAAAAATTCAATGGATAAATGAAAATAGTCTAAATTGATCGAGAGGTAGGTGCATGGTTGTCTACTAGATCGTGGAGGCCCTATTTCAAAATCTAGACGTGGTCCAAATCGACCTTTAACTATAATAAAATTAAAATGATTTTAATAACATTTTTCAAAATGTAATATCTTTCTATATTATTTAAATTAAAATTATCTATTATTTTTCAGGTTTTCGTATTCTCCATGAGATCTTTTTCAATTGTTATTATAGCTAAAATTATCTATTAAACACAATACTCATAATCAATCAATCATACACTAAAAATACAACCTAATTTGATCGGTAACTAACGAATCTAAGTAGAGGCCCCTAATATTCTGAGGCCCTGTGCCGGAGGGCGGGCCAGCACACCCTCTTGGCCGGCCCTGGCTAGGCTGAACCATATATATATATGGTCTGAAACAATGAGCTTTTTAATTAAGCTCCTTTTTTAAAAATATTTTACCCTTTTCTTTTTTATCTTGACTAGTAAGAGCCTACTCGCCACACTTCACGTTAAACGGTAACATAATAATACAATACACGAAACTTAATATCAGAATATTCAACAATGGTGAACCATCTGCTTCTTAGGGGCGTTGTTGCGATTCATCGTGAAAGCAAAATAAAAAAATGTAAGCCCAATGATTGGAGATTAAGAATTAGGCAGATACATGAAAGGAGTAATTTCTACGTACGAACCATCTTCCCCATCAACCAAACCCTCATCATCTACTTTCCGTTTCTACTTTTACGACAATGCAACAATAAATTAGAAATTGGTACACTTACATCCCACCGTCCAAACTAGTTGTACAACCTCTCTCACTTCTTTCTTGTCCAAGCATCAATTTTCTGTTCTATGTTCCTCACGAAGCAAGGACACTACAGGCTATTGCAATAAATAATGTCATCCTCCCCCTTGTTGGAAAACCCCACTGGTCACTATTTTGTTCAAGCATCTATTTTCCATCTCACCAGTCACCTCCCTCCCTAAACATCCCACCGGCCAAACTCGTTGTACAACCTCTCTCCTCACTTCTTTCTTCTCCAAACATCAATTTTCTGTTCTATGTTCCCCACGAAGCAAGGACACTACAGGCTGCTGCAATAAATAATCATCTATATATACATGATGTTAGGACATGTACGAGCCAAGGGCTATGCATGGGGCTTTAGTGGTTTCATAGGGGCGGATATATGGAGGTTTAGGGTTGCAATGAAACCAGGGCGGATATATGGGGCTTTAGGGTGTCTCGGGACACTTCTAAAATTTCAGGAAAAAATTATACAACACCTCACTGATAGTTTCGTATGGACAAAAAAATATAATTGATAATCCATCCCGCACACTAAATTTTTTTGAAAAACTAAGTCAATTATATATATATTTTCCAGAATATGAAAACACGTCATGAACATTCGTTAAAATTTGTACTATTTTTTAATTTTAAATTTAATTTGGATCCGCCACCGAGTGAAACAATTATACAAATGAAACACGATGATAATACTTGAGTAATGCACTCTTTCATGCGCCATTATTCAAAGTTAAAGCCCGTGCTCCGCAAAGGAAGTTCAATTCTTATTTTATCAAATCCAACACTGCCGCCGAAAAATTCTCATATCGTCGGCGGGCGGTCGGAAAAGCCTACTCCATCGTTGCCGGTCACCGAAAAGTCGCCGAAAATCCAACACAGTTTCACGCGGCTGTGGCAATGAAACAATAAATAATGTTATCCCCCACCCCCCGACAAACTCGTTGGTAAACCCCTCTGGTCACTTCTCTGTCCACCATCACCCTATATAAAGAGCTCCCTCCAGTGCTTTGTTCACTCCACCCACCTAATTATCTCTAATTTACGAACTCTCTCCACCTAGTAACGTAAAATGGCCAAATCTTCTACTTTCATCAAGCTGCTTTTCCTTCTCTTGCTCTGTTATTCTTGCTGGGAAGGAAGCGGAAGAACTGTGCCGGGAGGGATCATAATAGAAACCTCTAACCCATTACCAGTGACAAAGTGGTTTGCGACAGACTTTGAGACTAAGGGTTCGGCTTATGTCTATTCTGCATCCAACATCAAGGACAAAAAAAAAGGTGCGACTTCCACCCGAAATCCCCCGCATGCATCCAAGAATCATGAAACTGGGTAATTGCATGTTGCAAGTTTACGTTACTGGGTGGAGGGAGTTCGTAAGTTAGAGATAATTGGGTGGGTGGAGTGAACAAAGCACCGGAGGGAGCTCTTTATATAGGGTGATGGTGGAAAGAGAAGTGACCGGAGGGGTTTGCCAATGAGTTTGGCGGGGAAGATGTTTCGTACGTAGAAAATGATATGTAACGGAAAGTAGATGAAAATTGGGTTTGGTTGATGTGGAAAGTAGGTAAGGAACAGAAAGTAGGTAAGGGAGTTTTGTTGCATTATTATTTATTTATATTTATTTTGGTAGAAGGTTGCATTATTATTTTCATGTTACTTCTACTCCTATAACCATATCCCTCTCCCTGGTACCATCTCATCATCTGTCTAACCACAAATCATATCTCCCAGCTACACACAAATCCCCCCAATCGGTGCTATGAAACCCACAGAACGGGGAAAGAAAGAGCGCCGGCGAGACTGGATTTAACAGGATTCTGTCGAAAGTGGAGCGAGTCCTGTGAGAAGAGAGGAACAAAAGTGAGGCGAGTTCCGAGAAAGCATTGTGAAAGCAAGCACTATGGTGGTTCCGTCGAGGATGACCCACGAGTCAAAGGCTTATTTATTAAAACCTACTTGACTCATCGTTAAAATAAGGAGTTGGGTTTGAGATCAATTATATGATAATTTATAAACTAAACTCTAATATTTATGTCATATATTATACATGTGGTTAACTAGATCTCTTGTAGTATATATACGACACATTTGCTCATATCCTCTAAAACTCAAGCATGTGAGATATACAATTTAATAAACCTATGAATTATCAACAAGCCAACTCATAAGATATAGATTGATTTTATCATAAATCGGTAGTCGAGTTGGCTCACAAATTACAACGTTAAAACATATCATGAGCTCAAAACAGGAGAGTTCACGAGTTAAGCTCAACAAGACAGCTAGTCGAGCTAAACAATGCATAGGTCAAGCTCGGCTCGTTAATATACGAGTCGAACTTTTTTCTTACTCGAACGAGGTTTTATCGAGTCGAATGTCGAGTTGCTCATGATCAGTTGGCTTATCACAAGGCACCAGCTACACAGGGTGGGTGTCTCCAGTGGAATGCTTCATTTCCTGACCGGCGACCTTGTTGACCAAAGAAAAGCAAGGATACAGATACCCTTGCTCGTCTACCACCCTAATGTTGTACAACAGATAGATAATGTTATGCGGGGGTCTACACTAATCACTTCGTCGATAAATGAGCATTTCCCTCACTAAATGGACGGCTCTGATAGATTCATATATTAAAATTTTTATAATGATATAAGACGCTACACACCACAAAAGGATATTAGTTATAGTTATTCATAAAAATAAAGTGATATAAGACACTGCCACCACAAAAGGGGCATAATTTAATCTTATTAGGGGGAACCGCTACGGTGCTAACTGCATTGGGGTTAGCACCGTGATAACTAATATCTAAATGTCTAATCTTATTTTAGATCTAATGGCTACAAATAAAGAAAGGGTAAATTAGGAATAAAATAAGAATAAATTTTGAAACTGAAATTATTTTTATTTACGTGGGGCGGATTTCAAGGAGGATTTTTTGGGCATGCAGTTACTATTCTGAATGGCTAAACCTCACCCTAATTAATTTAATCGCCCTAACTTAAAACTGAAAAATTACTTAATTAACCTTAAAGAACTGAATACAAAATTAACATAAACAAACAGCCCCTATGGCCCTATCTCCTTCCTCGCATGAACACAACTCCCAGCCAGCTTCCCGGACACCGATTTCTATTTGCCGCCGTCGCCAAAGTAATCATAGATCCCATGTCTTTCTTGGGATTTTTTTTTGTTTCTGGTTTTCTTCTTCCGGTGCTGTACTGCTGTTTTTCGAAAGCGGAAGAGTGGACTTTGAAGGGGTTAAGTGGGAAGGCTGGAAGGAGAGAGGGGGGAAGGGTTATGCTCGCATCCCTCGATTTTCCTCAAGTAAGCATAACGCCAGCTTGGCCGGTTGCCGTCACTCGCTCGGATCGGAGAACCCTACCTCTCCACCTTCTTGTCGTCGCCGCCTCGTCCAGCCTCGGATGACTCGCTTGCTTACTCTCAGTCTCCGGCGGTAGTACTCCCCCGCGACGACGGCGGCAACGACAACAGAGCAGATCTCGTTCTCTGCGGGAGCCAATTCACCAGATTAATGCCGTTATCTCCCTCGAGCATAGCCTCGTACCCAATTTAATTGAAAATGAAATGGATGGAGAGAACGCAAAAGAGGGCACACATCTCTTTTTTTCTTCCTGTGGTTCTCTCTGCTTTGTTTTCGCCGAGATAAACCAGTGTTTGAAGAAGACTGGCGGAGAGCTCCCCAAACTTTGTTTTTGTTTTTAGTCGACTTTTTTTTTTCATTTTAATAAGATAAATGCATACAAAAATTTAGTAGGTAATAGTTTGCAATTAAATTATAACTTATCAACACATAAACGCATTAGTACCAGAATTTATATATATGGTGCCTTCTAAGGTACCGTAGAAGGCACCCTTCTACGATACCCCGGGTGAAATCCAGGGTACTGCATACCTTGAGTATGAAAACGCTATCTAGACCTCGAATTAGCATGATTTTTGGGCATGATACTATACCCTAACCCTTCATGAGTGAACCCTAGGTCCTAATTATCTAAATCATAAACTATAAACCCTAAGATGGTGCATTACTTTTTTTGCCTATATTTGGACGAATCATAACCGTCGATTATTGTTTCTAATTAAATTGATCTTGGGGTATAAGATTTAGAGAATTAAGAGCTAGATTTTGATCTTTATGGGTTAGAGTATAGTATAATGTCTGAAAGATCAGTCAATTCAAGTTCTAGATAGCGTTTTCTTACTTAAGGTATGCGGTACCCTGGATTTCACCCGGGGTACCGTAGAACTCCCCACATATATATATATATATATATATAAATTTATGATTGGATTATACTTTTTTATGTTTTAGGTGTAATTGGAATTAAGTTGTTTTATCTTTCTTTTTAGAACTTTTAATAAATTTATAATGAATTATTTTGTTAAATTAAGTTGTCCCTACTTCATATAATTTTATTGACTGTTGTTCTCGTCTCTTTTTCAGTGTTTAAATATGTATACCAATCAAGCGATATAGTGATGAAATTCAAATAGCAACAAAAAATCAAGAGATATATAAACTGCGAGTTATAAATTGTCATACCAAGAGTTGAAGTATAAACACACATAAATGTCACTCATCTACAGACAACTCTAGACTATCATGAAAGTCTCGTTCCTCCTTGAAATAGACATCCCACCCATGAACACTCGGGTCGTGGTTGTTGCTCCAATCAGCGAGAAAGGGAGGCATTGGTACCTCACCTTCGTTGAAGTCAATTCGAACCCAATGATCGCCGGTGTGATTTAATGCCAAGATACCGCGTGGATGCCTTACGCCTGGAGGGGCCCACACTGGTAATACAGTGTAGCCTAAGAACCAGGAGTCTCCCCTCCCATCAAGGCGATCATTGCGGGAATAAACAATGATGGCCCATGAGTGTAATGTTGCGAAAACGACGAGATCTAAGTCATCGAACCAGTGATCACCCAAACAACCAAGATCACTATTCCATGTGCACCGTGCAATTGCTTGTTCCACTGTTATATTGTTGAGATCATAATGTGAGGCATACCTATGGCCATTAGTTCTGAGCTCTTGGACAATGTCATCTCTCATCTGCCTCCAGTTATGCTCACTACCAGTGACTGCATGTGAAATGGCACGAAATCCACAATGACCATCACCGTCTGGATTATACCAATCTCGAATAAGAGGTTGAAATGGTGGTTGGAGGCAGCTCAAGTATGGATACTCCCACCACTCTACATTAGGATGCTCGACCAATCTCCTAGGGGTATCACTTGTAGAAAATAACAATGAAAATTATTAACAAGTTTGTTCTACATTTTAGTTACAGAATAAATAATGAACAAATTCCACAAATGAATACCTCTAGTACCTTGGTTGCCCGGTGTAGTACTCGATGTCCTTGTGGACTGTGAGGTGGTCCTCCTAGTGGCATTACCTATCCAATTGCAAAAACAATTTGTGAGCTGTACTTAATGGGTCTTAGAAACAAAATGAAATTCATCAAAGCGAAAAAAAAAACACATTGAACATATGAAAACCAATATAAATGTGAACCTGTGTTAACTTCTTCTTCAGTTCTCTGTGAGCCGGTGGTCGTCGAATTGACCTTGAACTTGTGTTGAACATGTTCAAAGTAAGAAGGTTCCCTTGTGGTTGATGTCTTCCTCGGGCGACCCTTCTTAGGTTGTGTCCCACGTGGCTCATCTAGGCCATCATCTTTAGGGTGAAGATGACTCCGCAAAAGGCCAATTGCTGCCCAGATTGTTGCATCATCTTTAGTAAGCAACTCTGTCACTAGCATATGTAAAGTCGAACGAACTGAACGCTCTCGATCCTCCCACTCTTGTTGGTTGAGAGGATTTCGATAATTCAAAGTTGACCAAAAAATGTCCAAGTCTTGAAGTGCAAAATCACGTTGTTCCATTCAAGCTCGCCGAATCATGCATCTACATGGTAAACCGAGTATTCTTGGGAAAATACATTGGCAAGGTTTTCCCTCCTCAGAAACCTCTTTAACCATCAACTCCAAAGAGCGTAGACTTACTTTCTTGGTAAGCTCCCTGAATGGCACCCCAGTGGCTAGAGCAAGCTTTTTTGTCCGAGAATGCTCGAGAAACTTTCTTCTTTCACGGTGTTGATGCTCCAAGTGATCATGATATGTCTTGTAAACCTAAAAAAAGAGGGAAAAAATTAGAGTAAACTATTGGAAACAATTTGTTAACAAGTAAGGAATTTATTGGAAAATTATTGAAGAACAATTATAGTAAACTATTTAGATGCTAACCGTGTCTAATGCCCCGTTAGATGAGCCAAGCCATGACTTGAAGGAGGAGTGTGCAGATTCAACCCGATTTGAACTTGTGTTATCTAAGTGGAGCACATCATTTGTGTAAGCTTTAGCAAATCTGTGGAGATGTGGTATCCACTCACCCTCTAAATAAGCCCACAAACCCGGATAGGAAAAACACCAACTATGTCTAAATCTGTTTAAGGCTACCTCCATCTCTTCCACTGTAGGTGCATATACCACTCTTTTCCAACCCTTCATGATTATTGCCATAATTTTTTCTGCGGTTGCTTTATTAACTCCCGGTTTGTACACTTCGGTCATACACTTCGCTTGAACATTTCGCTCAATGTGCCATACTGACTCGCTAAAACACAACACCTAACAAAGGCCAAGTGTAACCAATGAAAGGGACTGCAGTATAGTGGCTCAAGTGATAAATATCGAATCCACGGGTCTCTAGAGTTACTATTACTCAGCTTCAGTTTATTATTTAGCAAACCAGATTAATAAGGAAGAACTAAAACTACTCTAGCAAACTACAGTTAAAGTTAATATAATTACAGGTTGGGAACTCACTTAGGTATGATTCCCCCTAGCCACTAGCCAGATTAATGATTGATGATCTCTAACCTGTTTCACTTTCATTCACAATGCGGAGAATCGTTGACTAGACCTTGAGTCTCGACTAAAGGAACAAGGCCCTCTTGAGTCAATTGCCTAGAGGGACGTATCCTTCTCTAGAACAACTGATCAAGGCATTCTGAACTAGACTCCCTCTATCGAAAGGGGTTCTCAATCGATACAAAGCAGTGAATCAACCCTCGACTAAAGCAATCGATCCACTACTATCAATCTATGGTGCTCTATTGACCTAATCAGGTATTCCCTCTCATAGGATCAAAGCAGAATCAATAATCTCGACTAAAGCAGAATTGAATCATGAAAACATGCATAGATTGAATATGAACTCAAGATTATCAAGTCAGAGTACTCATACAATCATCCAATCAAACAAACATAGCTAGGGTTCCTCAAAACCTAAGTGAAGGGAAGTTACTCCATAGAGAAGAGAGAGACTGCAGTAAGAATCTTCAGATGATCAGTCTTCAAGTCCGGGCTTGTTCCTCGAGCTTCCAAGGCGAAGAAATCCTCCTTCTCTACTCCAAGAATGCCCTCAAATCGCCCTCTCTCTCTAGGGTTCGTCCCTTGGGTGTTTGGGATCCAAAACCCAGCTCTCCTTCTTCTTTGGTTCGGAATTTGGCTTAAAACCAGGAAATCCCGACTCGCGCGGCCAGGGTGCACGGCCGTGCACATCACCATTCTGGCCGTGCACCTCAAAACGCGGCGTATCAATTAGTTGAACCTCAGCCAACTCGCACGGCCAGAATTGTATGTTGCACGGCCGTGCGTGGCCACGCTGGTCTGCCCGTGCAGCTTGCTCAGCCTCTGTTTAATGCTTCGTTTCTCCCTCGTCCGGACTCCAAATCAATCGCCGTTTGATCCCAGACGCTCGTAGTCTCGTCCTCTTTCGTTTCATAACAAGCTTGCATGATTATTTGTCCATAAAGTGAGGTAGAAATCCATTCTTCTTCAGGTCATGCCCGAGTTTCTTCTCTCGAATCGTCAATTGATCTCTGATTGACTTGAAACTTGCGCCTATGCTTCACTTTATGTGCTAGGACCTGAAATGGGACAAAGGAACACAACCTAGCATAAAATAGGCCAAAGACGCAATAATTCAAGCTCAAACAATCAAGAAACAAAGGGGAAAACATGTGCAAATACCGAGTCATCAAATCCCCCCACACTTAACTGTTTGCTTGTCCCCAAGCAAACCTAACTCAAACCAATGCAACTCTCCAGACCTCTATAGCAACAAACAACCCAGATCGTAGGTAGAGGACTTCCTAGATCATTTAGCAGCTTACGAGGTCAACCGACGCACAAGTCATCTCATAACTTCTTCGGCGAGTCGCACTAGTATCGAGTCGGCATCATGGCAAATAGTGAACAGAGGACAAATGAATTGTGGATGCAGAGATTCTCAAAAACAAAGGATCATGGACTCACATTTTTCAAGGTGCTCTATTTTCTTCTTGAAGATGGTTGGAACCCCTTTTCTTTCTGTTTTGCTTGTTTTCTGTTATTTTTTTCCTTTTTTTTTCTTTCAAGGGTCCCAACCTGCTCTTACCGGCCATGCCAGGAGCGGATGTCTCGAGCCTCGTGCGGGGGAAAGACATGTAAGGGGGCTGGAGGTAGTAGGTGGAAATTGGGAACGAATTCCCGTCTCCCCTTACACACTTTCGCCCTATTCGCACGGGAGACGTTATTTTGAAGCACATTTTCGAGCACCTGTTAAACTCAAAACATGATACAAGAGTCCATGACAGGCAGAGAAACCACAACACCACACAATTCAAGGGTCCTAAGATCACTAATTCACTCAATCAACCAACTTTATATGAAGAAGAAATGAGACTTCTTAAATGCATCAACATCCTCCATAGTGCTACACTACCTCCCTAGGTTGCATATTACTATAAAGACTGTCAATTCAAAGCATACTGAGCAGGCAATTGCATGGAACACGTACTTGGAGCCCTCAAATTTAAAAATTTGGACAGTGGACTAGGCTCCAAGCACACAAACAGCCAAACATTCACCCGCATACATAATCGAACATCCCCCCACACTTAAGCACGACATTGTCCTCAATGGAGGAAAGATAAGGAGGGTAGAACGAAGTTACCAGATCAAGGGTGAATGATGATGAACGGGTCAGGCAGTGCCATCCAGAAAGAGAGAGTAATCAGAACACAAACACCACACAAAATCTCACAAAGGTTGATTTATTGACTCTAAAATCAAATAGCAAACTGACTCAACCGAGGAGAAATAGAGAAAGAAATGCAAACCGACTGGTTGGGTTGCCTCCCAACAAGCGCTTCTTTCACGTCGTGAGCCGGACGATGGCTCCTAAGTTTCGGTCCATGCTAGAACCTCCTTGAAGTTGAGGTTCTCGTCGATGAGGTGGAGTCTCAAGTCATGAGCATGTGGTGTGGCAGGTGATGAAGGCTCATGTACTTGATGCAGATGAAGTCTCCACCCTCGAGACCTCTTCTTCTCTTCTCTCGTCTCATTGCCCCAAACCAGATATGACAACATCGATTGGCCACCATCGCGTCCACCAAGAGGGACCGATGTCGAGGTGGCCTTGGTCTGGCAAAGAGACACTGCAAATGGGTCCTTGCTAAGCAGTTCCTCGAAGTTTGGTGGAGATATCACCTGTAACTCATGGCCGGTGCAAGCCTGTTCCACCTCAACTTCGTCCTCAGCCTGGACGCCAATTGCTTCTTCAACCTCCCTTCCTTCTTCATGTGGTATCACTCCTGGGAAATGATCAAGAACTCCTCCAGCTTCACTTTCGTCATCCTCCACAACTTCTTTCTGCACCCTTTCTTGCTCTTCTTCTTCTAGAACGGATTGGAGAGCAAGTTGCCAAGCAATTTCTTTCATGAGATCTTCTTGCATCTCCTCACTCATGCCCGCCTCTTCAAAGCTCTGGTTGGGGTGTGGGAAGGTGTGGTCGGCTACGACATGACAGGCCTGATCATGATCATCACGGGAGCTCTCCGTGACAACTTCAGTGTGTTCCACAATGCCCTTGTAGCCTTCTTCTTCCTCCTCCTCTTCTTGTATGGTAGCAGAAGGGTGATCTGGAGCAGGTTGCGCCCAAGATCGCTCAAGATCATCGACGCTCTTCTTAAGGCTCAGGAGGATCTCCTCTGTTTCACGATAGGCCTGGACACAATGATCCATACTGGAGCATGATCTCTCCATGAGAAGCCTCAAATCATAGTGTGGATCTGGCTGTGGAGTGTAGCATGGCTCTGCAGAATGGCCCGTGAAGGCCGCCATGGGTAACTCCAGCTCCAATGGCCCTTCTGGTTGTGGGAGAAATTCTTCTTGGTAATGAGGTTGTTCTTGATATGCCCAGGGGTCCGGTTGTTCTCCGTAGTAAGGGGGTTGGTACTGGAACCCGAATCCATAGTCTTCTCCGCCTTGGTTGCTCCACGGAGTCTCGGGGTAATACCACCCAGATGGTGGTGGATACCCCCAATGATTGGAGAAGCCATGAGGATCCATGATTCAGATCTGCACCAACAAAAACAAAAACACCCAAGTGAAAAGCAAGGGTGGAAAAGAAAAGAAAAGAAAAACGCTAAAGTAACAAACTTCTGCCTTTCCTAATAATCTAGAAAGTCCCCGGCAACGGCGCCAAAAACTTGACTCGCTAAAACACAACACCTAACAAAGGCCAAGTGTAACCAATGAAAGGGACTGCAGTATAGTGGCTCAAGTGATAAATATCGAATCCACGGGTCTCTAGAGTTACTATTACTCAGCTTCAGTTTATTATTTAGCAAACCAGATTAATAAGGAAGAACTAAAACTACTCTAGCAAACTACAGTTAAAGTTAATATAATTACAGGTTGGGAACTCACTTAGGTATGATTCCCCCTAGCCACTAGCCAGATTAATGATTGATGATCTCTAACCTGTTTCACTTTCATTCACAATGCGGAGAATCGTTGACTAGACCTTGAGTCTCGACTAAAGGAACAAGGCCCTCTTGAGTCAATTGCCTAGAGGGACGTATCCTTCTCTAGAACAACTGATCAAGGCATTCTGAACTAGACTCCCTCTATCGAAAGGGGTTCTCAATCGATACAAAGCAGTGAATCAACCCTCGACTAAAGCAATCGATCCACTACTATCAATCTATGGTGCTCTATTGACCTAATCAGGTATTCCCTCTCATAGGATCAAAGCAGAATCAATAATCTCGACTAAAGCAGAATTGAATCATGAAAACATGCATAGATTGAATATGAACTCAAGATTATCAAGTCAGAGTACTCATACAATCATCCAATCAAACAAACATAGCTAGGGTTCCTCAAAACCTAAGTGAAGGGAAGTTACTCCATAGAGAAGAGAGAGACTGCAGTAAGAATCTTCAGATGATCAGTCTTCAAGTCCGGGCTTGTTCCTCGAGCTTCCAAGGCAAAGAAATCCTCCTTCTCTACTCCAAGAATGCCCTCAAATCGCCCTCTCTCTCTAGGGTTCGTCCCTTGGGTGTTTGGGATCCAAAACCCAGCTCTCCTTCTTCTTTGGTTCGGAATTTGGCTTAAAACCAGGAAATCCCGACTCGCGCGGCCAGGGTGCACGGCCGTGCACATCACCATTCTGGCCGTGCACCTCAAAACGCGGCGTATCAATTAGTTGAACCTCAGCCAACTCGCACGGCCAGAATTGTATGTTGCACGGCCGTGCGTGGCCACGCTGGTCTGCCCGTGCAGCTTGCTCAGCCTCTGTTTAATGCTTCGTTTCTCCCTCGTCCGGACTCCAAATCAATCGCCGTTTGATCCCAGACGCTCGTAGTCTCGTCCTCTTTCGTTTCATAACAAGCTTGCATGATTCTTTGTCCATAAAGTGAGGTAGAAATCCATTCTTCTTCAGGTCATGCCCGAGTTTCTTCTCTCGAATCGTCAATTGATCTCTGATTGACTTGAAACTTGCGCCTATGCTTCACTTTATGTGCTAGGACCTGAAATGGGACAAAGGAACACAACCTAGCATAAAATAGGCCAAAGACGCAATAATTCAAGCTCAAACAATCAAGAAACAAAGGGGAAAACATGTGCAAATACCGAGTCATCACATACACATAATAAATGCCTTGACAATGGAAATACTTCACCCACCGTCACTAGCAATCCACCCTCTTTGTCTGAGACAATTGCATCCGGAACAACATCTCCAAGAAGGTGTTTTAAGTGCTGAGGTATCCAGAGGTAGGTATCCTTTGTTTCATCAACTACTAGGATGCCTGCAATGTTGAAATTAAGGTTCACAGGTGTGACACCCACAATCTCTACCCATGCCATCCCATACTCGTTGGTCTTGTAAGTAGAGTCAATGACAACGACATGGTGCCAAGCTCTAAGCATTAAAATAGACTTAGGATGTGCTAGAAAAAGATGGGTGAGCTGGTTGTGGTCCTCCAAATGTGTAACATAGTATCCCTTCTTTCGAGCATCTTGGAAGGTCCACTCCAAAGGTGACATGCCGCCCAATCTTGCCACTCTCATCTTAGATCCCTCGTTGTAAATTTGTTTCCTAGTGTGGTGACCTTTATCTCCTTTCCCTTCATTCAAAACTTGTAGAACCTTTTTTGACGGCACGTGTGACTCCAACAAACCATGGACTAATTTTTTATCTGCCGCACTAAGAGCATTCCGCTGGCTCGAACCTTCCAAAAATAGCTCCAACTCATGGTTGTGGTAACTCTTAAATTGACCGGGTCGATTTGTATCAAGCACCCCTTGGATCGTCCAGGGGCTGGCACCTTTCTTATCTATCTTCACCATAAACGGGCATCCATCTTTTTCAGATTTAGTGAACACCCGAATTTCCTTCAAAGGATCCTTTTGTTTGGGCTTCATTATCCGACCATATTTGCAACTCAAATAGTGTCTCCATTCTTCTGTCTTTTTGTTTCTTTTGTTAGAAGTCCTAACCAAAAAAAACCCGAGACCTTGAGCAATTACTTTTGCCGCATTACAAGCCTCTAGATGTGTTGTATACTCCACACCATTTACAAAGGACTGAGTGTAATCACCACCAATCGGATTTGAACTTCTAGCATCTGGATTAGAACTTTCCTCGACCTCCTACATAATTCAATTTTGTTTTTCATTAATGTTAACTAACATACATGTCTAAAATCATATTTACCCGGGGTCGAGCCGGGATTTGATAACCGAAGTAGTCATATCTTTTGATGTTGCAGCGGAAAAAGAATGAACACGAAATTAACATACAAACATTATGAAAAAATCAACTTTTTTTTTGTTAATTATTATGAGTTTTAATCACTCATAACATACTTTAAAATAATTAGGCAAACTCATAATAGTATTTAAGAAAAAATACAACAACTACTTAACTATAAATGAGTTATAAACCAACAAAAGCATTAATACATCTCATCACATATTCAACATTTCGTAATTATAAAATAAATGTGACTAATATATAATTTCAACATAAAATCTTCACGCATAACATATCCAAATTCCTCCCTAAAAATTTGAAACAGAAAGTTTAAAAGCTTAATTGATTCAATAATTTAAAAGATCTTCAATTCTAAGTTGGACGATTACGTTGAACAGAGCAAAAAATTAAATTGCACTACTAAATGAAACTACTAAATTAAAAGAAGTAAACAACTCCATATTCGAAAATGGAATCTACACTCCACAGCCCATGGAAATGATGTAGCAATATCCTTATCCTCCTGCTATCCTTTAATTTCTACGTAATATTCAAAATGTATGTGTAATTTTCAAAAAAATTGTTGTGTAGCTCCCTTTACCTAAACTAATTTATAGTTGTTGAGAGAGACACCTATGATGATTTATTGACGGATTGAGGGGTACCTGAACTTATATACTCTCAATCGGGAGGTGGGACCTAATACGATACATTATAGATCGAGGAAAATTGAGAAAACATCGTTTTTTTTTTCTCAATGTCGTCCTACAATTTATCAACATGGATTTTATTGATTTTTTAGCTAAAATTTACCGACATACCTCATTTCCATTGCTCATTTTGTTATTGGCCGGAGTGGATTGGCGGACAAGGATTAATTCTTTGATCAACCAGGCAGCTACAAGAATTGTTGATAGACTAGAGGTTCTAGTTGGGAGAGGAGCTGTTGATTTGGAAGGAAGTAAGAAACTATAGCTTCATAAATAATAGAGTTTAGCTGAATGATGTTTACTTGCAACGGGTAAATAAGCATCTGAATTTATAATAAAAAATTCAAACGTTAACAATGACGTTGAGCTGAATTAATATATACAAGAACGAATAAAAATATTACGTTGAGCAACAGAATACATATATAAAAACTGAATATATAATATCGTAAAGAAACTAAATATATATATATATATAATCATATAATTTGCATGTGTAACAATTAGCCCTTCAATCTGTTGCTCTTTTAATAGTTTTTTTATGTAGTAATATTCTTTTTATTTGTTTAACCTTTATAGCTAGAGGTCTCATTTGTTAGTATTTTCGTTAACTCGTTTATTTGTTTCAATTTTGTTGGTTTTATACATATTTTTGTTGTTGTATATGAATTTCCGACGATGGCTCAATGGTATAATCTTCCATAGCGAAGATGTAATCGTTCGATTTGATTGGGCCACAAAGAATGCTCAAGGATATGCATCTGATTTCGTTGACCTCCCAGGTTCTCAACTGGCATTGGTGATGCGGCTTCGTGGAAGTCTTATCACTATAAGGGAAGTTTATTTTCTCTCTTCTCGTCCCCTGTGTCAGTTTCGTGTCCTTTTGCTCCTCGGAGCTTTCCCAGAGCTGTCCACCTCGTGGCATAAAAGGCTCTTTCATCGGGAGTCCGGTTGCATACGGGCTACCGTTCTTTAATTTTGTCGGTTATATATATTTGTTGTTCGGCCATGCCCTCGGGGCTTATCTTGGATAAAAAAAAATTAGCCCTTCAATCTACCGGAAAAAAATATGCCGTGGGAGTTGAAATCGCCCTCCTTCCCGGAACGGGAAACGGCAGGGTAATTCCAACGGCCAACTAGTTTTTATGGGTTGTTCGTTAAAATTAAACTATTTTTTAATAATAAACAAAGAAAATGATAAAAATGTAATTATCATTTATAAGTTAGGGCGATTAAAGTAAAACCCAGGGCGATAATTAGCAACCCCTTACTATTCCCCATTTTACAACTTTCCATGTACGGGAGATGGTGGACGGTTAGGCTTTGAAACCATTATTAGCGTTTATTCTTAATTAGGTGTAGTAATTTTGCATGGAAAACTTTGTTTATTCAAATAGTAGTTCTCAGACACAAATGTATTAGTGTACTGTTTACCAACTGAACAAGACTTGTAGTAGTAGTTTTTTTTTTTTTTCAACTAAGTAGTGGTAGTTCATTGGACAATGTGGTAGTCGTATTGGTAGTATTTTCGAAATGATTATCGTTGTAGTAGTTGGAACTGGTAGCGCTTTTGAAATGGTAGTATGTCATTATAGTAGTTGGTACTTGTAGTGTTTTCCGAAATGGTAGTAGTGATACTAACAATATTTTCAAAAATGGTACCAGTTGTAGTAGCGGTAGTGGTAATATTTTGTTGGCAACTGATTAATTAGAGGTAGTACTTTGGTCAATTTAGTAGTGGGTATTGGTAGTTTTTTCGAAATGGTTGACGTCGTAGTAGTGGTATTGTGTTCACTTAACAAAGAATCACTACTAAACTACAACATAACAGAATATGTTATACATAGCATTTGGAGAGTCTCAGCAAAAATGATCTGCAAAAACTATCACACCATAACAAAATCACTACTAATTAATCTCAAAACACAAAAAACAGTGAATCACTAATACCACGACCAAAGAATCACTATAAAAGAATAACATAATCACTACTATAGGGTTTAATCACCACTACATCGTACAAAAAAGAATACAGTATCACACCATTGCCTTCAAACTCAGGACAAAACACTACTACTAAAGAGATGAAATACACTACTACTTGGATAAAACAAGGGTAGTTATCATAAATGGTAACAAAACTATTCACTTTGTACAAAACGATCACAAACCTTTACTTTTGCACGTTTCAGTAACATATCTTTTGACTAATAACAAAAAGGTAATTCCGTCCATCTCCATCCAAAATTCTGTTAGTTTGGTCCAGTCAGCTATCCCGTCAGCATCCACCTCAACAAAATAATTAATAAAAAATAAAATAAAAACAAATTAAACTCTAACCAACCCACCATCCCTATCTAGCCCAACCCATTCCTCTCTATCTCCTCTTCCTCTCCGCCGGAAGACAAAGAACAGCAGGAGAGAGACCACAGCGAGGCTGAAGTTGAATAAGGAGTCGCTTCGGTGGAGGTGGAAGTTCTTGACCTCTGCTTCAAGTGGAAGCGAGTCAATATGCAGATATCGCTCGTCGAAAACGTTCTCTTCAAGGTCGCCTCGGTTCTCGAGGCGATTGTGCTGGTAGCCACCCTTTCTTTCTTCTACCTCTGTTGCGGCTGCCACTTTTGATCATTGATTTCAAGAAAGAACTGGAAATTGGAGTTTCCTCTCAAGATTCGACCTTTTTGCTTTCTTTTTACGGGGATGGAAATATGGATTCTTTCTTCTTTTTCTTCTAATCTTTTTTATAATTGTATAATTGAGTTGTACAGTCCTTCTTCTAGCCGTAGAATTATTAGAACTCCATTTTTTTTATTCTTTCCTCGTCTTTCCCCTCATTCTCTGTTTAGCTTCCTTGCCGGCCTATCATTGACCGGCTGCCGTCGCTGTCTGTAATTCACCTGTGATCTGTACCCAATTTGCAAACTTTAACATTCCCACATTTGGGTTCCAGTTCCCTTTCCTTTTCTCCTCCCTATGTATCTTTTCTCCCCCAATTCACCTAGTCTCAGCCTCTGTTACAAGGGAGTCCAGAAACAGGGGATTTCCTCCAATTGCATTCTCTAAACTCAATCCGAATAGTTCTCTGACGGGGTGTTTCGGATTTTCCGTGATTATGCAATTGAACGTTTCTGTTTGCACTTTTTTAAAGCTTTCATCGTGTTCTTCGTCTTCCGGCGGAGAGGGAGAGGAGCTAGAGAGGAATGGGTTGGGCTGGATTGGGGTGGTGGGTTGGTTAGGGTTTAATTGGTTTTTATTTTATTTTTTATTAATTATTTTGCTGATGTGGATGCTGACAGGATAACTGATTCGACCAAACTAACAGAATTTTAAATGGAGATGGACGGAATTACTTTTTTGTTATTAGTCAAAAGATATGTTACTGAAACGTACAAAATTAAAGATTTATGACCGTTTTGTACAAAGTAAATAGTTTTGTTAACATTTATGATAACTACCCGATAAAACAACAAAAGAGTAATAGACCAAATCCAAAAACCCATCCTCCAATCGACAAACGAGTTGGAGAAAAATGACGGAAACCGTGAGCAACTTGCGAGTCGGATAAGCCATAAAAGAGAAACCACCTCCAACTTCGGCGACAGAACTTATGGAATCTAGGGTGGACTAAGATGAGCGTGGCGCTGACTAGATTGGCGCATGAGAAGTGAGCTAAGGCAAGGGCGACTCCGGCGCATGAAACGATGGCTCCGGATCAAAAAGTAGGCGACTGATCTGAGGACGAGGAAGGCGACGGCAGCAGGTTCGCCGAAGGAGAGAGGACCTGAACGCTACGGGACTACGGCGACTTAGACGAACCTGACTTTTGAGATGGCGAGGCGAGATCTGGAGACGCAGAAAACGAACGCAAAGATGGGGTGCGCGTCCACTATTCTTCCGATTGGGTTCTCGATTGATGAAAGAGACCGGAAAAGAAAAGGGAAAGAAAACAAAAAGGAAAGACCATGAAAAGCAAAGGTACGGTTGAGATTCCACCCGCAAAATCCGCACACCCTAGGCATAATTCCGCGTGATGACGTAAGCTATAATGTTTATTTCTCCAAAATACCCTCAGCGCCAGACCCGGCCCGTTGGATTGGGCCATATCAATTTCTGTGGTGATGAGGTGAGTTATCACCGTACTAACTGCCTATGTAGTTAGCAAGCCATCCCATCTCCTCATTAGGTTTAGAAATCGGACTGAAATAGACCATATTTGGGGAGACACCTTCTTTTGAACCGAACCGAACAATCGAATTTCCGACCGAATTTCTGAATTTTCAACCTATATGTGATCTGCCCAGAGCCCACTCCCAGGCCCAAGTTCCCAACCCAGCCCAATTTTACAACCCTCAGCCCATTCTCTAATAGCCCAATGCCCACCCAACCCAACTCCATTCTTCCACTTACCCACCCTAATAGAAACAGACTCAATTCCTTCCCAATTTCCAATCTCGACATCTCATTCGCTGCCAGCTTGTAACCCTAGGCTACCATACAACCCAGCTGATACCGAAATCGAAAAGGAAAGAAAAGTATTCGTCGCCCGAGCTCCCATTCGGCGATCTCTCCTAGAGTCCAGAGACCAAGACACCGGCCACCGCGACTCGTCGTTCCCTGACGGGCGACGGCGACGGCCTGACTTGCGGGCTGCGTCAAACCACCTCCGTCTCTCTCCCACCGCACTCGCCGGCCACCTCCACTCGCCACCACATCCCACCGTCCAGTAGCCGCGTCCGCATCTACGCATCGCCCAGTAGTGAGTAGCCTGCGCCTCCGGTGCTCCATCATAGCTGGAAGCAGCCCAGATTCATTCATTAGTTATTAGCGACATAAATAGTTGTCTCCATTCTGACTTTTAGAGTCAGACTATTTTGTTTCTAATATTAGTTATTTGCATCAAAATAATTTGTTAAAGCATAATTACCCAACGCTTATTTATTTCATAATTCAATTGAAATTTAATATAAGATATGACTAAATAATTTTTTGCCAATTTTATTGCCATCAGCACAAACTAAACAAACATCCACCTTTCATCTCGTTGAAGCCAACCAGCCGAATTTGATTGCAGATGGTCTTTAGATTCAGTAGGACCCGTGAGATTCCTGAGTAATAAAAACAAAAACCTACTAGCCATAGTGCATATATTAAAAAGGTTCTAAGTGGGTAGGAATTGAATCCTATATTTTAGTGAATTACAAACAAACCTACAAATTTGAATAAGATAATAATTTTATAAACGTCACATCTTAGAACTCCTTTCCCCTGTCCACTAGCAATAGAAGCTGTCATTGTCGCTCTTACATACTAATAAAATTGACTTCCCGACCTCGAGTAACCTTGAAAAACAATATGCTCGTTGTGTAATCTTTCACTACCTCCGTTCCACCATCAATTCCTGCAAGCACATAGGGCATGAGTAATTTTTTTCTTTTGGGATTATGAACAAGAAATAAAATAAAAAAAAATAAAAAACCCCAACTACGAAATCTAATCACAATCCAAAAATTAAGCAAATAATGGTACGAAGGAATTACAAAGTAAATCTTTGTATGAGTAAATCCCTTGACCAGTTCAAAGGCTGCATATACAAAAACGGATAAATGGAAGCTTATTGTAACAACTAACAAGGATGAAGCTAAGCGAATACTAAAAAGGCAGAGGAAAGAAATAAGGATAGATGGAAGACAGGAGATGCAGGCAGGGATCGCGACCAATACGAAGAATATCGCGAATCTGATGGCGGAGGTCCCCGCTCAAGGGGCGGGCATGACAAGGATCGAAACCATGATGGAGACGGTGTTGGCCAAGCTAGACGCATGGATTCCGCAGCGGGAGGGTAAAGGGCCGATGGGCTCTGGTAGCGACGAGGAGAGCTCGGAGGAGAAGGAGGGAGAGAAGAGTACGACTGGGATGAAGATTGGCGAAAGGAGCACGACCGGGCCAAAGACCGGCGAGAAGGGCGTGTCCAAGCCAAAGTTTGGCGACGACAGCAGCACTCGGAACCGCGACTCGAACGTGCAGGGGAGCTTCGGCTAACCGGCCGGTGACGGGAGTGGCCGCAGCAGTGGCACGGGAGGTTTTCTGGCCAAGCTCGCGAGACTCGAGTTCCCGAAGTTTGCGGGGGATGATCTTGGATCGTGGTTTCCGCGAGTTGAGCAGTTTTTCGAGTACCAGGAGGTTCCGGAGGATCAGAAGGTGCCACTAGCTACCTTTCATCTGGAAGGGGGGGCCAATCAGTGTGGCAATGGTTAAAATGAACCTATAAAGATACCGGAGAGCCAATTTCTTGGGAACTGTTCTCGCAGGAGCTGTGGGCGAGATTCGGTCCGACAGAAGGAGAAAGCTGCGACGAAGCCCTATCACAGATTCGTCAAAAAGGGTCCTTGCGCGATTACCAGAAGGAATTTGAGAAACTGGCTAATCGCTGTGTCGGCTGGACACAACAGGCGCTGGTGGGCACGTATTAAGGAGGTCTGAAGCCGGAGATTGCCGACGAGATTAGGATGTTTCGTCCGCAGTCTTTGCGTGACGCTATCAGCTTGGCGAGGATGAAAAATGATCAAATTCAACGCCATAAGCCGGTTGGTCATGCGGTGTCGTTTGCCGGAGGAGTAGGGCCGACGGGCAGTGGTGGAGGTGGCTCTACCGGCGGAGGAGGTGGCTATAATCTGAGAACTGCAAGCTCGGGATTTCAAGGAGGAGGAGGACCACCGCGTGGGCCGCCAGGAGGGAAGAGGTTGAGCTGGGAGGAGCAGCAGCTGCGACGAGCTCAAGACCTCTGCTTCAACTGCGACGAGCGATTCACCATCGGGCATAAATGCAGTAATGCTAGGGTGATGTGCTTGTTCGAGGAAAAAGATGGTGAGGGAAAACCTTGGGGACAAGGTTGATTTCAAGTGGGGAAGATTGATGAGGGTATTTTCCATGTTTTGGGCTTTGGGTAGTTTCGGTTTGGGCTAGGGTGTTTTTCCTTTTGGGTCAAGTTTTCCTTTTGTGTTTGGGAAGGGGTAGCCGAATTGGGGTAGGATTAGGTTAAGAATTAGGCTTTTCTAAGCCTATAAATATGTACCTTTGGCATTAGTTCCGTATCAATAAAATAAATCAAAGGTTTATAGACACCAACGTCTTTCTCTCGCTTGTGAGTTACAAGCAAAACCCTTGAATCGTGAGTTACGGTTATCATGATCTGCATTTATAGCCCTCGTTTCACAGAATGCAGATTGAATAGTATTTTTACAAATGGCATCAAATATCTCATCATTTAAGCTATAGATTTTTTACATCACATGCATATAACACAGAGCTGTGGTTCAATAGCTTGTGGACATCAGCATCGAGACCGACGTAAGACATGATCAGCATCTTCATCATGGCGATTTTATGGAGAGTCAGGAGAGAGTAGACAGAAAGTGGGCCGTGATCCAGATCGAGCTACTTGGCAAAGTGGGCTGTGAACATTTAAAGCCACTTGAGGAAAGTGGGCCGTGAACATCCAAAGCCACTTGTGCGAAAGAGCTACGTGCCTACATGATAGCATTAGCACCAGTCGAAGGAAACTGGACAGAGAAGAAAACGAAAAAGGACACCATTAATAATCTTTGTTTTTTTCTTCAAAAAGGTTTTGGAAGTTAATGTAAGAGACTCCGTAGTTCAATCACACTTGGCTTACCCTGATTCCGAAGGTGGATAAGGTGGAGTCTATGCGACAATTACGTCCGATTAGCCTTTGCCAGTTTGTTTATAAAGTTATTACTAAAATCATGGCCGAGCGGCTGGCTTGTTTCTTGCCTCAGCTTGTTTGTGAGGGGCAGAATGCGTTTATCCGGGACCGGCAGATTGTCGAGAATATACTCTTGGGGCATGAGTTAATGCATTATTTAAAAATCAAAACACGGGGTAAGAAAGGGCACATGGCTCTAAAGGTTGACATGGAAAATGCCTATTATAGAGTCGAATGGTCCTTTCTTCTAGCTGTTTTGGAAAAAATAGGCTTTAACTCAACTTGGAAAGGGTGGATTCATGAATGTCTCCGGTCTGCTTCTTTCACTGTCCTCGTGAATGGTACCCCCTCAGGTTATTTCACCTCTTCAAGAGGGTTACGGCAGGGGGACCCTTTATCCCCTCTCTTATTCGTGCTGTGTACCGACGGCTTTGCGGCGCTCCTGCGCAAAGCTATTCTGGAGGACCGGTTGGGAGGGGTTAAGGTGGCCCCGCGTGCACCCCGGATCTCTCATTTATTCTTCGCGGATGATTCTTATCTTTTTCTGAGAGGTACTCTCCAGGAATGTGAAAATTTGATAGAAGTTATGAATGACTATGAGGAATTGAGTGGCCAACGGGTGAATTTGGAGAAGTCGGCTGTTTGTTTTAGCCGGAATGTTGTTCGCGCGAACCAGGAGTTTTTGGCTGAAATTTTGGGGGTGGGCGCAGTGGGGGTTCATGACAAATACCTTGGGCTACCCACTCTAATTGCGCGTTCCAAAATGGCCACTTTCAGGTACCTGGAGGAGAAGCTGTTAGAGCGTCTGCAGGGTTGGAAACAGAAAGCCTTATCCTGGGCAGCTAAGGAGACTCTGATTAAATCCATTGCTCTGGCTCTACCACTGCATGTGATGTCTTGCTTCAAGCTACCACTTTCTTTGTGTTGTCTTTTGGACAAACATGTAGCCCGCTTCTGTGGGGGGTAACGGAGGAACATTTCCGTATTCGCTGGATGTCCTGGCGGAATATGTGTCGGAGGAGAGCTGACTGTTGATGAGGTAATCTGTCAGGGGGAGGGAGGGTGGAGTGACCAGAAGCTTAGCCAGTGGTTTGACCCACCGACCTGCTGTGCCATTAAGACTATACCTCTCCCGCGGCGACCGGTAGAGGATAGGCTTATTTGGCATGCCTCCCCGGATGGGGTGTTCTAGGTGAAGTTTGCCTACCATTTAGCAGTCTCCCTTGAGAAGCGAAGGGGGGGGGGGGGGGGTTGGAAGTCGACGGTTAGTTGGATGGATCGATCGAGCTGGATTCGTGTGTGGGAAGCCGATATTCCTCCCAAGTTGAAGGTCTTTCTCTGGCAGATTCTTAACCGGATCCTGCCTACTACTGAGGCTCTTATTGAGAAACAGGCCCTGTGAGTCCTAGATGCCCGGTGTGTTGGGCAAGTTCGGAAACTATGGAGCACCTTTTTCTTGATTGCCCTGTTGCGAGAGCCCTGTGGGATTATTCTGGACTGGCTCACTTAGGTGAGGGGCTTCCTCGTCATACGTTCCCTTTGTTCCTTAAAAGGCTACTGACGTTGATTTCCCAACCTATGCTATTATGGCTGTCGTGGCTATCCTCTGGAGGATTTGGCTATCGCGTAACTGGGTTGTCTTTGAGGGCAAGCAGTTTGGGTTTCCGGCCCTTATGCGCCAGTTTCATCAGCAGTATGAGGAGTGGGTCCGGTTTCCTGCGGATAGAGGCCCTTCTCGTGGTCGGCAAGAGCAGACCCACAAAGATCTAGTTAGTGTGGACGGGGTTGTTTGCATGTGGGATGGGGCTGTTCGGGCTGGGTCGCACTCGGCTGGTGGTTTAGTTATTCTGACCCCGGATCGGGAGGTTTTAATGGCAAGGGGGTTGCAGTTTCCGTGGTTTGATGACCCTTTGGTTGTAGAGTTGGTTACTCTTCGTGAAGCTGTTCTGTGGTGTCAATCGCTCGGTTTTGCGGAGGTCAACTTTGAAGGAGATGCACAAGTTATCATTGATAAAATCAACAAGGTGGATTCTAGAGATAGTCGGTTAGGGGTTGTGTTGGAGGAACTCATTATGATTTTGATAGTAGCCTTGGGTTTAGTGTTAGATTTGTTGGTCGGCGTAGCAATAGGGTAACCCATTTGGTGGCTAGAAAGGCTCTCTCTTTGTACCCGACTATGAGTCGTTCTTTTGATTTCTAGGCCTGGCTGGTCTCCAGGATGTAACTATCTGTTTTGATCAATACAAGATTATCTTTTGTCAAAAAAAAAAAAAGAGTTAATGTAAGAGTCTTATTCCATGAAAGTGGGTTGTGATTACTATATAGCAGTAACCATCATAGTTAGTAGGGGTAAATTGGGTATGAAAAAATAAATTGTATTAATTAATTTTTTTAAAAATGTTATTTTAGGTAGTTACAAAAATCTGTTAATTACAATTCTCTCTCTTTTTCGCACTTCCGTAATCTCTAGCCAGATCCCCTTCCCTTAATTTTCTCAATCTTTGTGCAAAAGAAAAAAAAAATGAAATCACTACCAATCCACTAGACAACAATTACCACTTTGAAAAATATCAATACCATTGCAGAAATAAATCTATATCATTACACGAAAACTACCAATATAAACAATCTAACAATATAAATCTATACCATTTCACAAAAAACTTAATCAATACCAGTACATGCAAATTAATACCATTACATGATAATTATACCAATGCAACTAAATCAATACTAATGCGACAAAACAATACCAGTACCACTACCATTTCACAAAACATAAATACTCTTACATTTAATCAATACCAATGTAGGAAAAACAATATCAATGCAAAAAAATACTACCACTATGCAGAAATCACTACCAATGCGAAAAAAATATACTAATAAAAAATCAGGCATCCTATGAGATTCCTCCAATTTTATTCTTTTTTCCAATCGTCATGCCTTGCAGGAGAGAGAGGTTGTGGGTGGGGTGAGTTTTTTTTACAACTGAGGCGGATGGGGTGAGGTGAGAGGAGGGAGGGATGGGAGAGAGGGGGAAGAGGAGGAAGATGGGGACGACGGGGTTGGTGGGGTAGAATATATAAAATAATCATGTGTAGTTTTTTTTCTTTCAAAATTACCCTAAAGTAATCTTAACCGTGAGATTAAAAAAAGAAAAATAAATGGTGGATATTAATGTAGCCAACTTAAAATTTAGTTACCAACCTAACGCATTCCCATGAAATTGTTAGCGGTATAACCGCTACCTCAAAATTTGTAGAAAGGTGATGTGATCTAGAAGAGTAAAAATGTTAATTTTTTAACTTTAAAACATAGGTTTTGATTACACTAATAAATGACAAGCGTGATTCTATATAGAACAGTTTTGGGACCAAGATATGTAAAGTGGTAAGCTTTTAGTCTTTAAAGCGTGATTTTGATAAACAATGGGTTATTGGTAGTCAAATTTGGCTAATTAAAAATAGATGGTTAAATGGTTAGCAGACTAGAATTACGACCATCCTGTCAAATAATCAAAGCTTAAACAAAGGAACACAAGAACTTTTT